TCAGTCTGAACGGTCAGTTAACTGAGTTTGCTATAAAGTCCACTATATAGTCCCCACTGTATGTGGACACAGTAAGCTTGCATGAGCTATGAGAGCAGCACATTTTAAATAGGGCATGCACGAGGACAAAGGGGCGTGTGCATGCTCTTGCACGCATATTTTTTCTTTTAAGTTGAGAGGGCGGGTTTTTTAGGAAATTATCCACAACACTTTTAAGGAATAGCATGTTCCTCTTGGCTATTTCATTGAATATTACTTTCACTGTCCACACAGATCTGAGGTTTTTGAACCAAGGGATCTTAATCCACTTTAAACCCCTCTTCAACTTTCCTTCTGTGCTCCTGATGCTCGTTGCTCAGTGATATTCCTTCACAAACCTTGAAGTTCCTTCATAGAGCAGCTGACTGCTTCTCTATGATTTCAAAAAATTGAAATCCAGGTCTAAAAATTCTTCTATTCCATGTATTCTATGCATTATTTTATGGAATAAATCTGATTGAAGGTTTAAACTGTGAAATCTCGGCAGTGTCCTACCTGTCTCATAGAGTGAGGAACAGTAGCTGCCTGTTGAGGCTGGTTTTGCAGTTCCCCCCCGAAAGCTATGGCGTCAGTGGGCATGATGGCCCCACTGCTCCCTGCTCCTCCACCTGTGTTTATGTTCGGGCTGCTCCCCATCACCGCTGCCCTCACCCCATAGGGCAGCCTGGCCCCCGCTCTGCCCAGAGTCATGGTGCTTTTAGGTGTGCCAGGATTCAGCCCGCTGCCCATGCTCCCGACCGGATCTTCAGCTGTGTCGGTGAAGTACATGGGTCCCCCGGTGGCGTAGGCAGCGTTCAGAGACTGAATATTCTCCATGGACAGAGTTTTCCCCGTGCCTGTCAGTCCTCCGCTGGAGCTGTTGCTGTTGTCCCGCCGGTGTCCCAAACGAGGGGAGCGAGGGAGGCGTGGCGAGCGGCCAGGACTCCCAGAGCTGCTACCGTTGGATCCCACAACGTCCAGCTTGGAGACGGACCTGGAGCTACCGTACATGGTGACAGAGGGACAGCTGGTTTCTATATGCAAGGTTGGAAAGGTGGAGGCCGACACAAGTCCCACTCAAACTGAAAGGTAAAAACAGAAGGCAGTAACTGAAGCTCAGTTCTCAGTGTCTACAGAGCTGTGATCAATGCCTTTCCAACACCCTCTGTAATCCATAAGCTTTGTTGTGAAGTAGCAATCAACAGGCTGATCTCTTTAGATAAAGACAGCGAGTCGATCCACAAAGCCTGGGATGATGGGATCAACTGAAAAGAAAGAGAGACACAAAGAGCCTTGGTTAGGAGAGTTTAGTGGATAAAACACACACAAAAAAATCCTCCCAGGTCTGGGTTTAATCTCTGAGCATGCACATTTCCTGCAAATTCTACCCCTCCTCACCACAAGAATGAATCAGTAAACATGAATGAAATCTAATCTAGCTCAGCTCTTTAAATAAATCAATCTGACTAACCTTAGCACTGCGAAACTGCTGAGGACGCCTGCTGTCCAACCATTCTGACCACATGATTAAAGATACTGTCCAGCAGCTGCTATACTCTGCAGTGTTAGCATAAACATTTATGACTGATAATCAATGACTATTCATCTATTGTGTGTTTGGGTTTATAATCCTGTTAGAAAAGTTCATCATGTCCAACAACAGCTATCAATCTATGGTGAAGAATGTGAACTCATTTCAATGATTAAGGTAACACAAACAACACAAAGTCTGCACAGCATGATGCAGCCACCACCATGCTCACCATGCACATCTGACCACCTTTGCAGTTTTGGAAAGCTTCAATTTTAGTCACTGTTTTGATTTCTGAGAAGGTGGCTCTTTCTTGATCTCTTTGTTCTGAGTCCACATTTAAGTAAAACTCAACAGCATCTCTTCTCTGAGCAAAATAAAAAAGGTTAAAATTTATTCTAGACAAGAAAATGTATGAAAGGTGGAAAGCTGCAACATAAATATGTCTATATATTAACATACTATCATACGGCCAGTTTTGATTGATCAAAACGGCTGATCTAACACAAATTTCACAATTTTGTATTCAATAGACTAGAACTGGACCTAGAGGCTCTAAAAGTCATTGCTTAACATAAATACCAGGGGGAAAAAAGACACTGACACGCTTAAATCCTGTTATAGATATCCTCATTGTTTGGTGGGTGGTTTGCAAATGGTTCCTGAAATCAAAACAATTTTCTTCTTATTTCAACTACTAATTTGGGTGAAAAAAATGAAATCTGTTCTCAGCCCAAATCTTATCCAGCAGGCCTAACAAACCAAATTAACGGTAAATATCCAACCAGAATGGGGCTTCTGTGTGGTTCCAAAAAGGGCTGGTCAAACTTGAAAATAATATAAAGGAAATCCTGTTATACAGTATAATGATAACCCAGTCCACTGCATGAAAAGTGGGATTTTCGTCAATATGCGGCACTGTAGATTGTCGTGGAACTTCAGGTTAGCGGCAGTTTACGACAATTTGCAGGCTTCGCCGAAAACTCCCGTAAATTGTCAGAAATTGACGTGGACTCTCTTAGGCAGTGTTCCCCCCATGCCTCCCCCCCATGGAATTCTAGGGGAGGCTTTAACATGTAAATGAACATGCTGTGAGCTATACAAATGCAAACCAGGGTTGCAGGGGGGTTTTTACCCCAAGTGACATCTTTCTGGGTAAGAAATTCTCTGATACAAAGAGATCAGGCTTAGTATAGCCTCTTACATTTTAGCTTGAATTGATTTATTTAATTAAAGTATAGAGACCAAAACAGATCTTTAGCTGACAGAGCAATACATTTAGAGCAGTAATTATAAAAAAAAAAAATTGCATTTAAGATAAAAAATAAAATGTTGTCTGTCAATATGCTCAATTCACAATTACTTAAGTGGAAAAGTTTCAAGAAATGAGTCTGAGATGATTTACTTTATAACATGGCGCATTATCCTGTTGGAAGTAGCCATGAGAAGATTGGTACACTGTGGTCATAAGGTCCGGCCAGGTCAAGATCCGCAATTGCAATCGCACCAAACAGGAAAAAGAACATTGACAAATTCCGGTTCGTCAAATTAAAATATAGCAGCAACAGATCGGTGACTAGAAATTATAGCACAATTCTTATATATATATATATATATATATATATATATATATATATATATATATATACAGTATATATATATATATATATATATATATATATATAAAAAAAAAAAAAAAAACTAACACCGTTTATTTAAATGATTGGATCCAAACTATTGGTTATTCACCAACGAGGAAGCAGATTTCTCATCTCCATCAAAATATTTATTTTATACCGAGGGACTTAAACTTTAATCAAATCCATTCAAAAGAAACTTCTTATTACAGGAATGAAAAGAGATGCTGAGTTTGGAAGTAGTGAACAAGTTCATTAAAAAAAAAGCAGTTTTGAATGATCCTTATCCCCGTTACAAAAATCTACAAAAATATATATACACTATATTGCCAAAAGTATTTGCTCACCTGCCTTGACTCACATATGAGCTTAAGTGACATCCCGTTCCTAATCCATAGGGTTCAATATGACGTCGGTCCACCCTTTGCAGCTAGAACAGCTTCAACTCTTCTGGGAAGGCTGTCCACAAGGTTTAGGAGTGTGTTTATGGGAATTTTTGACCATTCTTCCAGAAGCGCATTTGTGAGGTCGCACACTGATGTTGGACGAGAAGGCCTGGCTCTCAGTCTCCGCTCTAATTCATCCCAAAGGTGTTCTATCGGGTTGAGGTCAGGACTCTGTGCAGGCCAGTCAAGTTCATCCACACCAGACTCTGTCATCCATGTCTTTATGGACCTTGCTTTGTGCACTGGTGCACAGTCATGTTGGAAGAGGAAGGGGCCAGCTCCAAACTGTTCCCACAAAGTTGGGAGCATGGAATTGTCCAAAATGTCTTGGTATGCTGAAGCATTCAGAGTTCCTTTCACTGGAACTAAGGGGCCAAGCCCAGCTCCTGAAAAACAACCCCACACCATAATCCCCCCTCCACCAAACTTTACACTTGGCACAATGCAGTCAGACAAGTACCGTTCTCCTGGCAACCGCCAAACCCAGACCCGGTCCATCAGATTGCCAGATGGAGAAGCGCGATTCGTCACTCCAGAGAACGCGTCTCCACTGCTCTAGAGTCCAGTGGCGGCGTGCTTTACACCACCGCATCCGACGCTTTGCATTGCACTTGGTGATGTATGGCTTGGATGCAGCTGCTCGACCATGGAAACCCATTCCATGAAGCTCTCTGCGCACTGTTCTTGAGCTAATCTGAAGGCCACATGAAGTTTGGAGGTCTGTAGTGATTGACTCTGCAGAAAGTTGGCGACCTCTTCGCACTATGCGCGTCAGCATCCGCTGACCCCGCTCCGTCAGTTTACGTGGCCTACCTCTTCGTGGCTGAGTTGCTGTCGTTCCCAAACACTTCCATTTTCTTATAATACAGCTGACAGTTGACTGTGGAATATTTAGGAGCGAGGAAATTTCACGACTGGATTTGTTGCACAGGTGGCATCCTATCACAGTTCCACGCTGGAATTCACTGAGCTCCTGAGAGCGACCCATTCTTTCACAAATGTTTGTAAAAACAGTCTGCATGCCTAGGTGCTTGAATTTATACACCTGTGGCCATGGAAGTGATTGGAACACCTGATTCCAATAATTTGGATGGGTGAGCAAATACTTTTGGCAATATAGTGTATATATTTGGGCAGAAACTGAACACATGCTGGATGATGGTGGGATTTTTTTAATATGTCATATTAAATTAAGCGCTCACAGGGTTCATACAGGAATGAGTGACTCTAATTTAATGCTATTTTAATGCTATTTGAAATGATTTTAATGCCATCAACAAGAACCATGTACAAAGGTTATTAGTGTACATGAAATATGAAGGAGCTGCAAGCAGAGTTCCATGACTCCTGTATGTATGTAAACACACACACATACACACACACACACATATATACGTATATATATATCCTCTAGCTTTTTCTCCGCCTGGAGCGATATAATATATCTGACGAAATTGTTTTTATAAGCATTTTTTATTAAAGAATTATAAATACTTCGATAAACATATTTAAATAATTTTAGTGCCAATTAAGGCCTTGATTAAAAAAAAAAAAAGAATGATTTTTTAATTATTTTTATTGATCCGCGGACACCCTGATTCATCTCGCGCATGCTCTGTACGATCTCCAAGAAACTCAGAGCGGAGCTCTGCAGCCACAGTGGAGGATGTATGCTTTGCTTTGTGCAGCGGTCTGGAGCTTCTGGATTTCGGGGTAAAACTCCTCTTGGACGCGATGGCGACTCTGCATCGAACAAGACGAACTCAAAGAAGAGATGCTAGCGGTAAATATATGTTCGATTACTGCCTGCTAAGCTAAAAGCGGCCTAGCCTGAGCTACGGCTAATAGCGGCTAATAGTAGCCTTGCAAGAACAAGCTTTATTAAAGTGTATTTTTTGTGATTTACAGGTAGCAGTACACCGTCTTAACAACTCGGAGACTAATTGCAGGCGCTATGAACCGGAGCAAGGGTAAGATTTAAAGAATATGCTTTCATTCTGCGGTAAAAGGCAATGGGTACGGATAGATACCGATCATAGCTTTACATTTTGTTTTCACAGACCTCCCATCTCGGCAAGTCCAGATTTGCACGATGTTGATAAAGACGACATTGTGTGTAAGTGACTTGTTTTAATGTTTTCTCCTTCCTTGTTACTGTGACTTGCGTTTGATTTTTTATTCATACCACTCTCATTTAATTGTTTTCCAGCTGCCTGTAAGACGTATTTTCAGACGGTACGCAGGAGCTTCAGATATACGCAGCCAGCCACACGCTGCGTGCGGAGGCTATCTGCTCGGAGTCGGGCCAGAAGAAAGAGGGTAAGACTTTATTTGGTGACTATTTTTCAGGTGCATTGATAGATGTGTTGTGTCCATACGCAGTGCGCTGATTCATTTTTTTTTTTTTTTTTTCAGCTGCTGAAAGCGAGGCAGAGTGTGCTAGCAGATGAGGAAGTGGAACTCTGGAAGTCCGCCTTCCTCGGCGGTGTCTCTGGATGGATTGTACGGTCGCCGCCATTTCGTAGGCCGGATCTCACTGAACTCTGTGTTAAGCTGCAGTCCCGGTTAGAAGCGATGCCGAAGTACAGGGCCACGCACAGTAGGCGTCTGCACATCGGACCTGCCTCGGAGGGAATGCTGCCTGTTACCTC